GGAAAAGGTCGATGAAGGAACTTTCTTTCTGAATCTCTGCAGACTTCACAGGTCAAAGGTAGAGTGGGGGCTGGAAGTGTAGCTCAGTTTGTAGAGTGCTTGTGTGGGATGCAGGAGGCCCTGGCTTCTGTCCCCTGTACCACCTGAACCATGTGTGCTGATGGACACCTGCAGCCCTGCCTCAGTTTCAAGGTCGTCTTTGGCTGTATGGAGAGTTCAAGATGGGCTCCTTTTGGTTTTTGTTTCTTTTTTTTCTTTTTGGATTTTTTTGAGACAGGGTTTCTCTGTGTAGTGTGTAGTATAGTCCTGGCTGTCCTGGAACTTGTTTTGTAGACCAGGATGGCCTTAAACTCAGAGATTCACCTGCTTCTGCCTCCTAAGGGCTGGGATCAATGGTGTGTGTCACCACCACCCATCTAGATGATTTCCCCCCAATCTGGATGTTTTGGGGTAATTAACTGTTCCCCTGTTCAGCTCTCCACAAACCAGTATTTACACATCACAGCCTTGCTTTATGCTGGTATATGCTGGTGGTTTCATTTACCTAGAGTAAAAATGTTTTCAGACATTAAATATATATGTTGGTGAAAATATAGCACATTGTTCCAAATCTTGTTATTATCATTTTTCATGGATATGGTATATTCATGAGCATAGCCATAGTCCTGAAAAGGTGCCTAACTTGCTTACCATGTCCTAGACTCTTGCAATCTCCTCTTGGAAAAGAAGTTTCGATCCCATTGAAAACTGTACTCTTGTTCCAGGCATCTGTCACTCACCTGTAGTCCCAGCACTCAGGAGGCAGAAGCAGACAGGATTTGTGTGGAGGCCAGCCTGGTCTACATAGTGGGTTTCAAAACAGCCAGTGCTTTGTAGAGAGACCCTGTCCCCCCAAAAAAATAAATAAAACAAACAAACAAACAAACAAACAAACCCTATTCTTAGGCTGGAGAAATGGCAGTTAGGAGCAGTAGCTGCTCTTCCAGAAGACCCCGGTTCAGTGGCTCCTCCTTAGCACCCATGTGGAGTGGCTCACAACCACCTGTGACCCCAGTTCCTGTGCTTCCAACACCCACTGACGGTCTCCAAGGACACCTGCACATGTGTGGTGCACAGATAGACAAGCAGGCACATAAAGAACACAGTTGGTGAAAAATGTACATCTTAGGGACTGACAGGATGGCTCAGCAGTTACAGTGGTCGCTCTGAAAACCTGGAGACCTAAGTACATCCCTGGAACTTCTGTGATGGAAGGAGAGAGCCAACCCTGGGAGGTGTTTTCTGACCTCCGCACGTGTAGTTGCAGGAGTGCCTGAACACACAGTAATTCTTCCATCAGTCTGTCTACCTACCTACCTACCATATCTATCTGACTGTCTGTCGGTCTGTCTGTGTATCTAATCCACTTAGGCAGGGTCCTGCTACGTAGTCTTGGCTGGCCTAAAAGTGTGCACTACCATACCCACCTAATCTAAAATTTTCTTGAAAGCTACACTCTAGGGGTCTGGAGAGGTGGCGGTGAGAGCACTCGTTGCTCTTGCAGAGGGTGTGAGTTCAGTTCCAGCACCTGCATGGTTCTCACCAGCATCTGTAATTCTAATTCTAGGTAATCCAGTTCCTTCATCTGACTCTGCAGGCACCAAATACACGTGACACATGTACATACGTGTAGACAAAACACACTCCCACATTCTACAGCCAGGTGTGGTGTCATACATGCTATAATCCCAGCACTCAAAAGGCTGAGGGAGAAGAGTTCAAGGCCAACCTGAGCTATATTTGAAACTGATTCAAGAAAAATCAACCTGGCATAGTGGCACACGCCTGTAATCCCAGCACTCAGGGAGGCAAAGGCAGGCGGATCTCTGTGAGTTTGAGGCCAGCCTGGTCTACAAAGCAAGTCCAGGACAGCCAAGGCTACACACAAAAATCCCTGTCTCAAAAACAAACAACAACAAAATCACATTCTCTGGGAAAAGTAGAAACTAAAATGTTAAGTGTTTCACTGTTCAGAGTTGTCAATACCATCTTCCACTTACCTTGGGCTTCCCAGAGCTGTAATTATACATGAAGAAAACCAAAAATATAACTGCTCATAACTCTTGGAAGTCTGGAGCAGGAGGATTACCATGAGTCTGAGGACACACTAGGCCCTACCTGTTTTGAGGTATCCACCACAGAAGACCACCCAGACACAGGTTCAAGCCAAGAGAAAGTCTTTATGTTCAGGATCTGAGTGGAGTCCCTAGCTTTCTCAGGGTGTGCTTTTAAGTGTTTAAACCACATTCTGGGTTGACACATCTTAGGTAGCAAGAATGTTAGCCAGAAGTGAAAAAGGAAAGTTAGTACGTTTAGGGACTTTCTCAAATGGATTAGGTCTTTGTTCTTGTTTTGCCAGGTATTCCTACCTGTGTATTGGGTTCTAAGGCCTGAATGGTACTTCCATCATGGCTTCAGTTGTGCTAAGGCCTGGGGTCCTGTTGCATTCCTAGTGTATTTCAGGAGAGTCTGCAGAGTGAGACCCTGTCCAAAAAAAGAAGAAAGACCCTCTTGCAGATTCAAATGTTCTCCCATAGTCCACAATTGTAGAATACGACCTTGTCTTCTAATCCAGACTACTCTCTTCCTGCAATTTTTATTCTGTACCCTCACTTCTGCCCCTCTTTTGGATTCTGAGACTCTGACTTTGAAACTTGATTCAGCATGGGATAGCCAGCTTCCCTACCCAAAGCCCTGCTGTGCTGGCGCCACACGAAGGAGAGTTGATAAGCTTGTACTCGTAACTGACACACCTTGGACCATTATCACTAGATTTGTACCCAAGGTACTTTTCACATTTGTGTATAGTATCTAGGGGCAGGAGAGAGGGCTCAGTATATACGCATGTGCTGCTCTTACAGAGAACAAAAGCTGGAGACCAGCACCCACATAAGGCTGCTCACAAGTTCCTGTAACTCCCACTTCAAGAGACCTGATGGCCTCTTTCGGCCCCTGTAGGTACCTATATAATTGTAGCAGATACGTGAGCACACTCATAAATAAAAATAAATCTTTTTAAAATTAGGGTAATTGGGACTGGGAAGCTGGTTCCGCAGTTAAGAGCTTCTGCTTTTGCAGAGGATCCGTCCTCAGTTCCCAGCACCACATGGCAGCTGGAAACAGTGTTTGTGGGGTTTCCCGGGGATCCATCGGCCTCTGTGATTATTAGGAATGCATGCAGCACACTTAAGTATTTGCCAGCAAAACACCTTACGAATACACAAAACTTGTTTTTGTTAAAAAAAAAAAAAAAAAAAAAAAAAAGGACACAGTTCCCAAAGGTGCTGTGGAAATGAAGGTGACCTGAATTTCAGGCCCTGCTTCCACTTCCTCCCAGGTGCTAGGGTTCGAGATGTCTCGCCGCCACACCCAGCTTCCTATCTGTTGGATTGTAAATCAGCATATCTCAGAGACTGGGCTAACTTTACTGCAGCTCTGTTCATAATGCAAAAACTATAGAACCAGCCGAGGCGCCCGTAGGTAAAGAGAATGTACATGTACACAACAGAATTTATTCTGCTCTGAGAACTTACGAGTAAAATTAGGACAGTGGAAAGAAAAACAGGATAAATTGAATCCTCTTACATATACTTCCCCTTTCGTAGTCACTTGTCAGTTCTACACGAAGTGGAGAGCTGAGAGGAAGCCCTACTGGAGCTGAAAATGGGCTGTTCTATTGGTTTTTGTTGTTGTGGGTGTTTTGTGTCTGTGGGTGTTCTGTTTGGTTGTTGAGTTGGTGTTGGCTTGATTTTAATTTTGTTTGTCTTTGTTTTGTTTTGGTCTCTACCGTAGCTGGCCTATAGAACTCTGTACACTTAGGGTGCCTGGTCTGCCTGTCTCTGGCTCCCAAGGGCTGGGATTAAATGCATGCAGCGCTTCAACTGGCCCAGGTTCAGGTTGTAATGCCCAGCTGGGGAAAAGGCTTTTAAGTGCTCTTACGGGAGAGAAGTTGGCCCTGTTAACCTTGCTTAAAGTCTCAGAGAGGCTTAAGCACCCCTGAGAAGGCGTGCTGGACTGGAAGAGTGAACAGGGGAAGCTGGCCAGCCTGCCTGAGCTGAGAGAACTCAGTCATTCTCAGGCCCGGAAACCTGGTGTCACCCTGCGAGAAGCTGAGCTCTGACATTCTTTTACTGTGTGGCCCAGCCCCTTCCAAGCCAGAAACCATTCACGAACATTGGCTCTGAGTATGTTACAGAAGCAGATGTGAAGCCACAGACAGAATATTCCAGTGCATTCTAGACTGTTTGAGAGCGTACAGGGTGAGGGGCGAGAGTAAGAATTATAAGGTGATCAGTGGGGGGGTCAGCTGTGCGTGCACAGCCCCATAGACTAGTTGTGACAGCAGTTTTATTTGTGTTGCTGCTGGAGCTTTTTCACACCTGTCACCATCCCTTCAAATCCTTCTACCTCTCTGGTGAACCTGTTTCCCCTGTAACAGCTGGGTCCTCAGGATAGGAACAATTGATGCACCTTAACCTGCCTGTTTGCAGGGTTTAAATCGAATCCCCAGAAGGAGGACTCGGCAGATGAGCAGAGGAATTCTGAAGAAGAAGCTCACGCAGACGGACTCAAAGAGGATGTCATCCCCGTGATATCTGCCAATAAGTACGGGCCGAGGTCAGAGAGGCAGTGGGCCAGCAATCTGGGACGGGAGAGGGGAGCAAAAGCCTCTCTTGATGCCCCAGGTTTCAGGAAAGGGGCAGAACCAGCGTCTGCTAAGCCTGCCCCAGGGGAGAAGCGCTACATATGTGCAGAGTGTGGGAAGGCGTTTAGCAATAGCTCAAACCTCACTAAACACCGGAGAACACACACTGGGGAGAAGCCCTATGTGTGCACAAAGTGTGGGAAGGCTTTCAGCCACAGCTCCAACCTTACCCTTCATTACCGGACACACCTGGTGGACCGGCCCTATGACTGCAAGTGTGGGAAAGCCTTCGGGCAGAGCTCAGACCTCCTCAAACATCAAAGGGTGCACACCGAGGAGGCGCCCTACCAGTGTAAGGACTGTGGGAAAGCCTTCAGCGGGAAGGGCAGCCTCATCCGGCACTACCGCATCCACACAGGGGAGAAGCCCTATCAGTGCAACGAGTGTGGGAAGAGTTTCAGTCAGCACGCAGGGCTCAGTTCCCATCAGCGCCTGCACACAGGGGAGAAGCCCTATAAGTGTAAGGAGTGTGGCAAGGCCTTCAACCACAGCTCGAATTTTAACAAGCATCACAGAATCCATACTGGTGAAAAGCCCTATTGGTGTAACCAGTGTGGAAAATCCTTCTGTAGCAAGTCAAATCTTTCCAAACATCAGAAGGTCCACACGGGAGAGGGAGAGGTTCTGTAGGTGTCGGTTCTCCTCAGTTGTTGCTGTTGTAAACGTTAGAACGTGAGTGCTAGGAAGAAGCTCTGTGATGCGGTGACGTGTGGTGGTAGGTTTTGCTGTAGTCATGGGGTGGGGGTGCCGTGGAGGGAGAGCTGTGCGTGAGCGGGCAGCCGGAGGACCGCAGAGCAGCAGGGTCCTCCTCGCTCCAGGCCCCAGTGGACTGTGCTCACATTGCCTTCTGCATAGTTAAGCTGATGTGTGTCCAGTGTAGTTAAGGAAGAAACATTAAAACTGCTTAAGTGTTTTAACATGTATCCCACACTTGTAGTCTGTAAAGAATTGAGCCACCTTTAACAGTCTGTTTGAGAATAAATGTATAGCATCGTGTAATGCCTCGGGACTGTTATTGTGATGATGTTGTAAGAGAACTTTTTTTTTACATTTTATTGGGTGAGGGCGTAAATGTGTGCCTTCCCAGCAGCACGTGTGTGGCAGCCAGAAAACAACTTGACTGTCCAGCGCATGTCGTCAGGCAAGCTCGTTATCCACTGAGGCTTCAGTGTCCGTGGCTGCTGAACATTCCTGTGGGTAAAGCGCTGGCCAGTAGTGGGCTCCATTCTCATACTTCAACACCTGGGAGGGTCGTAAGTTCCAGGCTGGCCACATGTCTCAAAGAAAGGAAAGGGAGGGTGGGAGGAAGGAAAGAAGGGGCAGCAGTGTCCAGTCGGGTGTGTGTGAGTGTGTGAGGAAGTCCTGGGCAGGTAGGGCTGGCAGGTGCCTAATGGTTGCACTGTGCTGTGTCCCTGACATATGAGTACACATTTGCATTATGGGGTCATGTCGTCAGCCTGTGAGTTTTATGGTAATCCTGACTGTGCCAGGGTCTGAAAATCAGCTCTGTGCAAGCAGCGTCCTTCTGAAAACTGCAGAAATCGAAACCCACAGGATTACCTTCAGTCTTTCCTGGCAAGATGTGAATGCGTTCTTTGTGCTGGGAAGACATCCTCGGTTTCTTATGTCCGCTGCTGCCTAGAACCCAGCTGCTCTCCTTCCTTCTGCCACTTCCTCCAAAAAGTACTGAGGAAAGTGTGCATACCTGTATACACACACATATACCTTCACTGACCTTGAGTGCCAGGAACTGGGTGGTCAGGAAGTTTCCCGCGCCGTACCAGACCCGAGGGTTAGTGTAACCTCCCAGGGTCCCAGCAGTCAAGCCTCCCCTCCCTTCCACTCTGTGCGCAAGAGGCCAGACTTTGTGTCCTTGGCACTAACCCTCTCCCCGCAGCGGTGACCTCCCTCCTCACACTTCTCTGCCCAGGCCCAAGACAATTGTATCTTTAATGTGTGTACACAGGCATGCACACGTATGTGCCATGTGTGAGGAGATGCCTGTGCAGGCTGGAGGTGTCACCTTCTACCATGGAATTTAAGTTAAGGATTTGTCAGGTTCCCTCATGGAATTGCATTTACAGGTGGCCGCTGTGCGCCCCTCCCCCACCCTTGGGTGCTCCGTAAGAACGGTGTGTCTTCTTAACTCCCGAGCTGGCTCTCCAGTCCTGGCAATATTGCTGGGGTTTTTTTGTTTATTTGGGTTTTTTTTCAAGACAAGGTTTCTCTGTGTAGCCTTGGTTGTGCTAGACTCACAGTGTAGAACAGGCTGCCTTGAACTCACAGAAATCCGCCTACCTCTGCCTCCCTGAATGCTGGGATTACAGGTGTTCATTCCAACGCCCGGCTGACATACTGAATTTTAACTTAATTTGTTGTTGTTATTGTTAGCTATTTGAGACAGGTCTATGCAGCCCTGTCTGGCCTGGAACTTACTGTGTAAACCAGGCTGGCTTTGAACTCAGAGATGCACTTGCTTCTGCCTCCTGAGTTCTGGAAATAAAGGTATATATAACCATTCCCTGCTCAACTTTAACTTTGTCCTTAAGATTGTATTTTTCCGTATGTGTGTGTATCTGTGTAGGTGTGTGCACATGAGAGTACATGCCTGTGGGATCCCTTGGAATAGAAGTTAACAGGCAGTTAACAGGCAGCTGCCTGATGGGGATTCCGGGAACAAACTTGGGTCCTCTGCTCTTGGCTTTTCTCTGCTGCCCTCTCAGCTCGTTTATCCGGGCGTGTAGGCTATGTAATGGCACTGGGAACTTAGCCCTCCTTCGCCCAGAAGTCTGCAGTATTCCCTGTTTTGGGGAACTGAAGGCTCTGGTTCACTCTTGCCCACCCCTACCCTGGTGCCGTGCCCGCCCTCTCCTGACAAGTCTCTTCTGAAGCAGTCTCCCGGCTGCCAGTCTCTCATCTTTTATATCTGAATAAAACAAAGGGCAGATTCGGCCACACACGCTGAGTCTTCATGTACCAGCCAAGTAGGAGGGTGGGGTACTACAGATGAAAACTGGCATTTTCTTGTCGTTATAGCCGATCGGGAGGCATGTATTTAGTGTCCCCCCAGAACCTGAAATTCAGTAAACTCAGTGATCACCACTCATCATTCCCAGGAAGAGAGGCCTGCAGAGGAATCGGGCTTCAGGCAGCAGGTGTGTGTGTGTGTGTGTGTGTGTGTGTGGACGGTACTAGCCAAAGGAAGCTGCTGCATCTCTATTAATGCCCGGCAAAAGGATCACAAGACAAGGAGTATTGAAGACAAAAATCAGTGCACTGGGGAGCAGCACACACCTAACAGGATGGCCTCAAAAGATAAGCAAAAAGAGTTGACTCTGGGTAAAACCAGTCACTGTACAAAAGCCTGAGAACCAGAAGCCTGTGTAAGAGTTCAGTGGGGTAGCACCCATCTGTAATCTCAGCATGCTACAGCAAAGGGAGGACAGCAGGACAGGAGAGGCAGGTGTGTCCAGAGCTCACAGGCAAGCTGGCCTGCAGCAGCAGAGAGACCCATCTTATATGGGGCTGGGGTGGAGAGCTGAGGTCTCAGCCCTGACCTCCACATCCACACACCCTCCCTGCTACTTACACACATAGAAAATAAAAAGGCTATATTCAGACAGACAGGCAGGAGGCCAGTGAGATGGCCCAGTGAGTGTGACAGCCTGAATTCGATCCCTGGCACTCGCGCGACGGAAGAAAACTGGCTCCTGAAAGCTGTACTGTGGCCTCTACGTGTGTGACATGGGATGTGTGTGTCCCTCAGCATAACGACAATAACTTAAAGAGTAAGATTAAAGGTGCCGGGTGGCTCAACACTCAGAGCTCTCCTTGCTCTTCAGAGGACCAGAGTTCCGTTCCCAGCAGTCATATAGCACATTAAGTCCAGTGCCAGAGGACTGACACCCTGTTCTGGCCTACAGACACCTGTAAGCCTGAGTTGTAGTGCGCATGTGCAGGCACATATACATGGACATAAGTAAATGAAAACTGCATAACATGGACGGTTTTCACATTTAGGTCCGCTTGGATTATTAAAGTTCCGGGGTTGGGGATTTAGCTCAGTGGCAAGCGCAAGGCCCTGAGTTTGGTCCTCAGCTCTGGGGGGGAAAATTCTCCATATAACTCAAGCTGGCCCTGAGCTCCCCATGTTCAAAGGCTCTGATCCTCTTGGTTCTAGCCCCCCAAGTTCTGGGATCACAGGCCTGAACCTCCACACCCTGTTTACAGTGGAGGTAGAACCCTGGGCTCCATGGTTGCAAGGCAGGTATTCTGTGAACAGGGCTGCAGCCCAGCTTTGTGTGTGCAGAGTGTGTCTGCGGGAGGGTTTGCCCGTGTCCCGAAGTCGGGGGACGACTTGCAGGAGTCAGTTCTAGCCTTCCACTTTGTACGGAGGTCTGTATTCAGAGGGTATGAATACAGAGGGTGTTCCGGCGGTGGCCTGTGGCCCGAGGCACTCTCCCTGTCACCGCTGTCATACTTGTCGCAGGACTGCTGGGGTCACGTGCACTGCTTCACGCAGCTTTGATCAGGCTCGTGGACCTGGACGGATGTGGTCAGGACCACGGGGCAGGTCAAAAAGCTCCACCGTTTCTTTGCGGCTGTGGAAGACGTGGATGCATGTGTGTAAAGACACGGGGGGATTAGTCCACCGTGGCGAGTGAGTCAAAGAGCAGGGGGTGCCGGCCACACACCCCTGCAGTAACGGCACAGCTTCTTGGGGGAATCAACACGGTGGGGTGGGAGCTGGTGTCACAGTGAATGCACAGTGAGCTGGAAAAGGTCCATGGAAAATGTCAGCGGTAAGAAACGCCTAGCAATCCCAGGCCCTAGTAGAGTGCCTGCCCAGGCCCAGGCCCAGGCCCAGGCCCAGGCCGGCGGCACCCACTGAAGGTCAGTCTGTGCCAGAAACCCCGTCTCAGCAGTAACCAAGGGGCTGGAGACGGAGTTTGGGGGTAGCCTCCTTGCTGGCGTGTCTGAGGCTGGGCTCAATTCCCATCAGCAAAATAATTACAATGAAACATACAGTAAGGTTCCCACAGTAATTTCTTAGGTAGGGTAGGGTAGGAAGACGAATTCTATAGTGTTCTTTAACTATGGTACTTCTGTATCATCAAGGCAAGGTCTGTGGGATGGAGGGAGAAGAGGGCAGGTTAAAGACCTCAGCCCTCTGCACAGTGAGAGGCTCAGCAGATGGAGGCACAAATATAGCAAGCTCAGTTTGATCCCTCAGACCAGTGTAGTGGAAAGAGAGATCCATCCAGTTCTTAAAGTTGACCTCTGGCCTCTACATGGGACCTCCTGTGATACACACAGAATAAATAAATATAATTTAGGCATTTCTTCCAGGGAAGGAGACACAGAAACCCATGTCACACACAATGCTACAATACGTGATCTCCCATGAGCTCATGTGTTTTGTTTGGTCTTCACTGGGTACGGCACTTGGGGAGATGGTGGAAACTTTGGGAGGGAAAGCCTAGATGGAGGAAATGGATGGCAGAATCCATCCCTAGAAGATACCTAGTCCCAGACCCCATCTGTCTTGTCTTCCTGGTCACCACAAAGCGAAGTCTTCTCCGTACAGTTTAACCACCATGTTCAGCCTCATGAGTCAAGGATTGGTTTCTGGCCGGACCAAGCAAGTAGGTGGGTTTGTTGAAGGACATCAGCTGTGGATCTGTAGCTTAGGTAAAGGACTGTTTATTCAAATGTTACCTGTTCAGCTGTAAGGACATCCCAGCATCACAAAGGCCACCAGGCACTAGCATCAACTCCATTTCGGTTAAGTAATCTCCTCTACCACCTCCCACGAAAGCCTTAGGTCACTGAAGTCATGGCAGGGCCAGAAACGGATGTCCAAGTCCTGTTCATTGTCCTTACAGGGTATTCAACCTTGTTAAATCTGTACGTGTGCACCCCATAGGTGCAGGTTCCAGCAGAGCCAGAAGAGGGCATCACATCCCACAGAGCTAGAGTTACAGGTGATTGTGAGCTGCCAGTGTGGGTGCTGCGAACCAAACTCAAGTCCTGTGGAAGAGCAGCAAGTGCTCTTGATCACTGAGCCATAGTGCAAACCCCTGTATTTCAATTTGAAGAGTGTCACCGGTGGAATGGATTGTGTACTGGCCACAGAGGAATTACTTTGATGGTCTTCAAGTTAAAGTCTAAAAATGCTCACATGGGAAAGCAACATTAAACAGATTCTAAAATGTCCAACCTGTTAAGTTCCCACATCTGGAAAGGCAATGTCATTTCATCACGTGATACTCAATTTGTAGAATAAATGAGTAGCCTGGGAAAAGAGGACTCCACAATCGGTGAAGCTGAGCTAAGATTAGTGCTTACCCATAGATGTTGTATCCAGGCCAGTTACCTGGCCAGGGCAACAGTACAGTAATACACTTAGGCAGGGAGAAAGTGGATGGGGAAAGCAGCCTGCAGACACCCACTGTGAGGCTGGCACCAAAGTCCTCAAACGAGTTAACGAAGGCAAAGGCCAACTCAGGAGTCATGAGAATGGAACAGATGTTGACTGGGAAGCTATAGGGAGGAGAAGGAACAAAACACGGCCTTTGGGATGATTCCATGTTTGGCTCAATAGGCAGTTGGCCCTAAGAATCATCACTTAGGCTGGGCAGATGGCTCATCAGTAAGCGTAGATACTGTGGTGGTCCGAGCGAGAATGGCCCTACAGTCTCATAAACTTACATGCTTACTGCTCAGTGAATTGTTTGGGAAAGATTAGGTGTGGCCTGTGAGGTTTCAAAAGCCCACACCAGGACCAGTCTCTCTTTTCTTCTCCCTTCTCCCCTGCCCTCTCTTCTCCTTCCCTCTCTCTTCCCTTTCTCTCTGCTTGTTGCCGTGGATCAAGATGTAAAACTCTCAGCTTCTCCAGTCCCTCCTGAAATGATGGTCACGGTCTAATGCTCTAAAAGCAAGCCCCCAGTTAAATGCTTCCTCTTACAACCACTGCCGTGGCCGTGGCGTCTCATCACAGCAGCAGAACAGTAACTGAGATGCTGCTCTACAGCACCCAAGGTTGGCAGTTGTGAGCCCTTGTCAGGCAGTTTACAGCTGCCTCTAACCCCAGCTCCACAGGACCCAGGGCTCTTCTACAGCTTTCTCAGGCCTAAACTCAGACATAAAAAGAGCATCTTAAGAAAACTGCTGTTCTAGAAAAGGACAAACTATCCTAGTAACCACAATCACATTTGTGTGAAAATAGTCTATACACTTCTTGAGTCATTACTGACATAGTTTGAATAATGCACCAATGCACCTAGCAAAACCATAGGGTTTACTGGGGGTGGGAAAGGGACAGGCTTTCATGTAGCTCTGAACAACAGCCTTGCAGGGCTGGAGGTCAAACCCAGGGCTTTATCAAGTGAGGCCAGCACTCTGCCAACTGAGCTACATCTCTGGCCCTCAAGCCTTTTTTGTTTTTTGTTTTTTTTTTAAATGGGGCGAAACACCTGTCTAAGCTATTTACATAAAAAGGTCCTTGGAGAGCTTTTGGTGTTTTGAGACAGGGTTTCTCTGTGTAGACTTGGCTGTCCTGGACTTGCTCTGTAGACCAGGCTGGCCTTGAACTCACACAGGTCTGCCTGCCTCTGCCTCCCACTTTGGAGAGCTTTTAAGAACTATCTTTAAATTGGTCATAACAGATTAAGCCTGTAATCTCCAAAGGTGAAAATGCTGCAGTAGGATGGAGTTCAAGGACAGCCTGGCTTACATGGTAAGGTCCCACCTCAAACAGAAACCGGAGAAAAACAACTTCTTTCTTTGTTTTGTATTGTTTGTCAAAAATAAACAATCTAAACATCTAATCCCAGCACTCAGGAGACAGAGGCAGGTGGCTCTCTGTGAGTTCGAGGCCAGCCTGGTCTACAGGACAGTCACAGCCACACAGAGAAACTCTGATACACAAAAAGAAACAATCCAGTAAGACGCCAGTCATCCAGCACGGCTCGTCCTCTTCCCTGAGAAGTACACCTGAAGCTGGGCTCTGTGCTGTTAGAACCTGTATCACAGAACACCTTCCCACAGTCATCTGAATTGGACCTCAGAGGTGTCACTGGAGATGGAAGGCTTTAAAAGCAAATTCCTAGCCAGCTACTGGTAGCATGTGCTTGTAATCCCAGCACTTGGGAGGTAGACACAGGAGGATTAGGAGTTCAAGGTCAGTCCTGGTTCATAAATGAACCACAAAATTAAATGAAAATTCCTGAGCCAGGCGATGGTGGCACCTGCCATTAATCACAGCACTTACGAGGCAAAGGCTGGCAGACCTCTGAGCTTGAGGCTACCCTTATCTACAAAGCAAGTTCCAAGACAGCTAGGGCTACACAGAGAAACCCTGTCTCAAAAAACCTCAAAAAACAAAAACAAAAAAACCCCCACCTCAATCAGAGAGATGGTAAAGACCTTTACTCCTGCCATGCCTAGTAAAGCCTCAGTTTCATCCCTGGAACCCACAAGGCAGGAAAAAATCCAACTCCTGCAAGTCAACCTGTGACCTCTATGTGCATGCCATGGCTTGTGTATGCACGCATGAATAAACACACCAAAAATAAATGTAAAAAACTTCTGGGCTGAGATACATAATTCTTGCCCAGCAGGAGTGAGACACTGGGTTTAATCTCCAGCAGAAGGGAAATAAAACTTCTTTTGCTATAAATGAAAATGTTCTTCAAATTTTTCTTTGATAAAAAATTATGTTGTATTGCTTAAAAAGACAGAACTGGAGGCTGACTGTAAAACTGACGAGGAGGCAGAATCTGGCTCAGTTTAATCTCTAGTAATGAGAGTGCCAGCAATGGAATGGACTCCTACTCACATGCACGAGCCAGCCTTAACCTTGCTTTATAGCCCAGGCAGGCCTACAACTTGTGATCCTCCCAAGTAGCTGAGATTAGACACCTGAACCACCAGGCCTGGCAAGTGTTGAAGGAGCCAAAAGGGCCAGTTCCCTAATTCTGTGAAATTAAGACACTCATTAGATGATCTGTTACAATACCCTACAAAGAAAGTGAGATCACATCCACCTTAACATCAGTCTCTTCCTAACTTTCCTGCTCTGTGGCTGTGACATCCTTCTACAATCAAACCAAGACAGAGCAACTTGCCCATTGCCACACAGGAGCTAAGCACACCTTCTTAGTTTTCACCGTCAGTCTGACGCTACACCACACAAAAGGGTCTCCAGCTCACAAATCCCTAAGTGAGGAATGAAGGTGGAAATAGCTACAAGTATTTAAACAGCCCACAACACTGTGTACAAGAGACTGAGAGAGCTGCAATAGGAAAACCTCAAATTTGTCACCAAAAAATGGTTATCAAATAAACGTTTCAAAGCTCACTTTTGCACTCCATTTGCACTCACTGTGCTGTTTTAACTCACACTTGACTCCCATACAGGAAAACTCCCCTCTGAAACACCTGTTCTGTTTAACAGTGCATTTCATTTATGCTACAGGATGAGCAGGGTTGGGCAACTATGGGAAGCTATCCGTTGGGCTGGGAACACTCAGGAAGCACCACCCAAACCCAGCGAGGAGCCTGCTGCAAAGCTAGCACCCCAGTCCCTCTCTGGCTTTCCAGTCTGTGAGAGGTGGAATCTAGAGCTCCAGAACCTGGGTATGAAACGGCAGGACAAGCTGGGTAGGTGAGTTCCCTGAGAACATTCTAGTATCTAGAGGTTGACATTACATTACTTTTCACCACAGGAATAGGAAGAAAAGAGAACAGGAGTCAGGCCAGTGCTAAATGTTTCTGATCTCCCTTAGGCTATGTACTGCTCCGAGATTCCCAGTCAGTCCTATTACAAGGGAAGATGTGGGGTCTGCCAACAGCACAGCCAGACTCCTCTTGAAAGCATGGTTTCACTGTTCCAGAAACCCCTGTTGGGGTCTTTTGTTTTGTTTTCCCCCAATAAAATAAACCCATCCGCACCCAATTTCCTGAATTCCTGGAATCATGTATCAAAGCAGCATATTCTCTGTCCACTGTTAAAGCTGGGTTAGGAAGTGGCTCTGAAATGCAGCTGGTAGGGGCCTGGGACGGTTGTGAGCACCTTTACCCCAGCACCCAGGAGACAGAGGCAGGCTGGATCTCTGAGTTCAAAGACAGCTTGGTCTACATAGTGAGTTCAAGAACAGCCAGGGCTACAAGTGAAACCCTGCCTCAAAAATACAAAACAAAAATTAGTCTGTTTCTCTTCCCAGAACTTACTATGGCCCAGAATATTCTTCCTTCTGCCTCTGTGCTTATTAGACTGACTCCAACTAGTTGAATCCTTGGAATTTTGTTGCTAATAAGTTTCCATCCCCATCTTGGAAAGAAAGGCTCTTCTGGTTTGAGAAAATGGTTTAGTGCAAACCCCTTTCCAAAAAGGGGTGACTAGCCCCCAAGCTTCCTTCTGTTCCCAGTGCTTAATTTGCTACTTGCCTCACAATTTTTCAAGAAATCCTGGTGATCACTGTGCCAGGATGATTTTCCCAATCTGCCCCCCACCCCAAGTGAATGGTTTAAGGTGGGACACATCCTGAATTGGTCCTATTAAAAAGTAAAGCAAGAGCTCTGTAGACTCAGCAAGTGAGGGAAATGGTACATGGCTCTCTCATGTGGATTCTCTGATGTTTAATTCCGTAGACCCTCTGAAAGAACTTTCGCTTACACCCATTACAGTCAAAGGCTTCTCTCCAGTGTGAATCCTCTGATGGCGAACAAGAGCTGAGCTATACCTGAAGGCTTTGCCGCACTCACTACATTCATAGGGATTCTCCCCTGTGTGGATTCTCTGGTGCTGAATAAGGCCTGAGCTGTAGGTAAACTTCCCTCCACATTCCATACATTCATAGGGCTTCTCCCCCGTGTGGATCCTCTGGTGCTGATAGAGGTGTGAGCTCTGGCTGAAGGCCTTCCCACACTCGTTACACTCGTAGGGCTTCTCTCCAGTGTGGGTCCTCTGATGGTGAATGAGGGTGGAGCTCCGGCTGAAGGCCTTGCCACACTCGTTGCAAGCATAGGGCTTCTCGCCAGTGTGGATCCTCTGATGGTGAGTGAGGGTGGAGCTCCAGCTAAAGGTTTTCCCACATTCAGTACATTCATAAGGTTTCTCCCCAGTGTGGATCCTCTGATGGAGAATGAGGGCAGAGCTACAACTGAAGGTCTTCCCACAATCTTTACATTCATAAGGCTTCTCTCCAGTGTGGATCCTCTGGTGCTGAATGAGGTGCGCGCTCTGGCTGAAGGCCTTTCCACACTCACTACATTCATACGGTTTCTCCCCAGTGTGAATTCGCTGATGCTGAATAAGGTCTGAAGTTCGATTAAAACTCTTGCTACATTCATCACACTTATGGGGTCTGCCTCCCATGGGGAATCTCTGATGTGAAGTAAGTCTGGAATTCACAGGGAAGCTGTTCCCCATACGGGCAAGCTTTCCCTCAACTGTCACTTGGCGAAGCTCTTGTATTCTCCTGTTCCGTCTGCCGACAGAGGAGTCCCCCAGCTGCCTCTTCAGACCGACTTCCTGTCCGTAAGTGTCTTCAAACTTAAGACCCTGAGAAACATCCTTTCGGAATCGTCCCAATATCAGGTCACATAACCCCATACCCTCGGAGATTACTTGATCATTTCCAGTTTTGGATTCACCATCTAGCACAATAAAAAGAAAAAAAATGCAAGTGTCATATGATGCTTGTGAGAAAATGAATAAAAGTCAGAGGACAGATAGTCATGTGTCTACATTTATAGTGCCTGAAGCACACACCTTTTTGCTGGCCTGAAGAGAGGCCTTCCAACTTGTATGTGTAACTAAAGCAAAGTAAGGCAGATGGGCTGAAGAAAAGTCTCTTGAGGGACTGTAAGCACCAGGTGTCACGGGGGCTCAGCCAGATGAGGTAACTCACACCTACAACCCCATCACTGGAAGGGCTGAAGTGGAAGGCTTACATAGCCCAACACCATCCTGGTCTACTTAACCAGTTCCAGATCAGCTTAGGCTGCAGTATAAAACCCTGCCTCACAAACTCTCTCTCTCTCTCTCTCTCACACACACACACACACACACACCACAAAGACATAAGCAACAAGAAAAGACACTGGAGCTCAAGCTTTGTCACTCAACAGCTCTAGCAGCACAGAGAAAGCATCTAAGTTCTTTGCTTGTTTGTTTGAGGCAAGGTCTCATGTAGTCCAGGGTGGTCTCAAACCCATTATGTAGTGATCGCGAAACAGTTGGTCTTCCTGCCTCTACTTATCAAGTGCTGGGATTACAGGTATATGCCACCATGCCCAGCTGGCTGCTAAGGGTCTCTGTGTGTTTTTTCCATAGATGAGTGTCTTGCCTCTATGTGTGTATATCACACCCATGCCTGGTGTCTGTGGAGGCTGGAAGAGGGCATCAGATTCTCAAGAACTGGGGCTATACAAGGTTGTGAGCTGCCATGTGGGTGCAGGGAATCAAACTTGGATTCTCTGGAAGAGCAGCCAGTGCTCTTAATCACTGAGCATCTCTCTACTTCTGCTTTGCAGTTCTTGACATCACGTTCCACACCTATAAAACGAGGATCAGATTAACCACCTCCGCTATGGAGTTACTGTGAGGATTAAATGCAAGGATATCCATGAAACCTCCCTGTACATAACAGTTATCATTCTTACTGTTGTTAGATTTCTTTTTAAAATTTACTTATTTTTAATGTGAAGGATTGTTTGTCTGCATGTATGTATGTACCGTGTGTGTGTGGTGCCCTCAGAGGCCAGAGGACGGCTTCAGGTCCCCTGAAATGGAATTACAAACAATTCTGAGCCTCCATGTGGGTAATAGGAACTGAACTTGGGTCTTTTGCACCATCAGAGCTTTCCAACAGTACACTGACACAAGCATACCCTGAAGCCAAGAGGCAGCAGGTTCTGTGGAGAGTCCAGGTCCTTACCCAGGGAGAACACATTCCCGTAATTCTCCAGCATCACATCCCTATAGAGGTCTCTCTGTGCAGGCGCCAACCGCTGCCACTCCTTCCAGATGAAGTATACGGCTACATCCTCAAACGTCACCAACTCCTGAAACAGTCACATGGCCATACATGCAATTTCAGGGCAAGGGATGGGACTGGCAATACCAAACAGCAACCAGGATGGCACTGAGCAGTACCTCTTCGGCAAGTGGGATTGGTGAGAGAGAGCAGTGCCAGCGTGAGCGTCCACAAGAGCACTGATGGTGTAGTGAAACCTAACTGCCCCCAGAGTCCGTATCAGATGCAGTTTAAACTAGCATCTATTTATGTGGGCGAGGGGACCACTGTGATTGTCAGTTCTCTCTCTAACATGTGGGTCTAAGGATTGGACTCGGGTTGGCAGGACTGGCAGCAAACACCTTCACCCACTGAGTCATCTCACCAGCCTCAGAACCGTGGTCTTGATGGACATAGTTAAGAATTTAGGACACTGACTGAGACATCAAAACAAAAGAAACAAACAAAGGAAACCATGGCTTACCTGGGACTTGGCCTTTAGAAGTGCAGCAGCCAACATCTTGTCCCCCAGACTGTCTTTGTCAGCAAAGGAAGGGACTTTTGAAGAAGCAAGAGCTGAAGGACAATACCAGGTCCAAGAATCAGTCTACATGCTTTCTGACCCAAGGTCACACGTCTCAAAAACACTGCCCAGTCTCTGCTTTCATGAAAGATGTTTCTAGATCCATATCCCCCCAGGTGGTGCTAGAGAGCAAACCCACAGCTTTGGGCATGTATGCAAGTTTCTCCCATTGAACTCCATCGACAGCTCCTCTGACTATTCAAGCCTTTGCCTCGCGCTGGGCCGGGAACCAGCTGCGTTCCCATTTCCCTTCCATGAATGCAAACTCCTGTAGGAAATCCTTACAGAGGAAAATGAACATCTTCCCTCAAGCCCCGACAGAAAACACAACACCCACACCTCTTTTTCCACCTGTAGACCAATCTTTATACAATAGAATGTTTACTCCCTCTGCCCTTGGCCACACACTTTCTCATCAGCCGAAGTTTGCTGTCTCTCAGCACCTACCCACTACATATAACTCGATCTGACAGAAAGGACATAAGTGGTTTTTCCTGGTAAGCATGGGAACAGCAGCCAGAGGTGGAAACCTGGGCTGTAGCTCAGTGCTAAATGCTGACCTAGCATACATACTTACCCAGAAGTCCTATCTCCCAAAACTCTCTAGTGTTTGGGGAATTTGTTTTTTCTTGGGGGTTGGGGGTGTCTGGGTAACTGTGGGTGCAAGCATGCCATGGTGCACATGTGGAGGTCAGAGGACAGCCTCAGGTGTCAGTCCCTGCCTCCGTCTTGTTTGGGACAGGTATCTTTGCTGTTGCCCTGCTACGTGTGCCATGCTAGCTGGCCTGCGAGCTTCTGGGGAGCCTCCGGTCTCTCCTCCCACCTCTCCACAGGGATGCTGGGATTGCATGATTACAGTCTCACTGTATGTCTGGCTTTAATGTGGCTTCTGGGATTCAAATTCAAGTCCTCATGCTTCTGTGGCACACATGTCTGTACATATCGCATACAAAGGAAATAAGTTAGATTCAAAAAAATTAGTTCAGTAAAAGGTTATCTTGGTTTGGGTGTGGTACCATGTGCCTCTAATGCCAGCATCCTGGGGGCAGAAGCAGGCAGATGACTAGGAGTTCCAGGGTATCCTGGTCTACAGATATAGGAAGTCCTTCAGTGTAGGAAGTCCCTAACCACCAGCCAAGGCTACACAGCAAGACCTTGCCTCAACATAAATAAATAAATATGGGAGAGAGAGAGAGGAGGGTGCAGAGAATGAGTCAGGCAGGGCATGGCAACAGACATCTGTTTAAGTCTAAAACTCCACACACAAGAACATGGAAAATTCAAGGCCAGACTGGGCTACACAGTGAAACCCTGTCTCAAAAAACAAACAAGCATACCAAGTGTGTTAGCCCACACCTTTAATCCTAGCACTCAGAATGCACAGGCAGGTGGATCTGTTATGTTCAGACCAACCTAGTCACAAAGTGAGTTTCTGGCCAGCCATGGCAACAAAGTGAAATTCTATCCCAAAAGAAAAATGAAACACAAGCAAGAAAAAAAAAAAAAAAAACCAGAGAAATAACCCCCCTCCCAAGCCCGTACCTTACCACTCTCTAGCAGGGGCTGAGGCTCCGGAGGCGCATGGGCTGCCTGACTTTCCATTGGGAGAGTGAAATATTCTGGTCGCTGCTCTCCTAGCTGCAGACTCAGAAGGAAGCGGGATGTGAAGGAGAAGCAGCACTGTAGAAACAAGAGATCAAAGCTGAATTTTTAAATGCCTACTGATTTCAGAAAGAGGGAATTGTACCTCAGTTATGCAGGAAGAGCAAGAAGAAACACAGAGGGCTATTCTTTTAGATCCCTGTAATATGGCACTTCCTCCCTATGAGACCACACAAGGAATCCAGATTCCCAAACCGTGCCCCACCAACATTCTGAGTGACAAGTGTGGCAATGAGGTAGGTGTCATTCACCAGAATGACATGACTGATCTAAGCCAGGTATAGTGTCCTACACAGGTAATCCCAGCACTAGGGAGGAGGGGCAGGAGGATCAGGAATTCAAGGCCCCCTGTGCTAAAGGAAACCTTACTCTGAGACTAGAGATGGCTCAGATGGCTCAGAGCACTTGTTGCCCTTCCTAAGACCCAGATGCAGTTCCAGCCCCTACCCTGCCACTTACAACATCTGCAACTTCAGTTCCAGGGAGTCCAATGCCCTCTTCTGGCACTCACAGACACCAGGCGCATGTTGCAGAGACTTATGTGCAGCAAAACACCCACACACATAAAATAAAAATAAATATTAAAAAAGAAGCCTTACCTCAAAAAACAAAAACAAAAACCAATTAAAAAAAACCTAACCCCAATTGTGCTTCTTTTAGCCCTTCAAGAGACCCTGTCTCACAAAACAAGGGGCTGGAGCGATGGTCAGCAGTTTGGAGCACTGGCTGCTCTTCCAGAGAAGCCAGGGTTTGATTCCTAGCCTTCACATGATAGCTCACAGCCATCTCTAACTCCAGTCCCAGGGAATGTGAGGCCCCTTTTTGGCCTGTGGGGACACCGCATGCACATGGTACCCAGACATACACAGAGGGAAACACCCATACACATAAGAGAAAAATAGAGACAGAGCAATCTGATGTGAGACCTCATTACAAAAAGGACATAAACAACAAAGTTCCTTCCTTTTAAAAAGTCAAAGATACTGGAGAGGTGGCTCAGTGGTTTAGAGCACTGGCTGCTCTTCCAGAGGAACAAAGTTCAATTCCCAGCTCACAACTGGTGGACAGACATACTTGCAGGCAATATATCCATACATATAAAGTTCAAATTGAAAAAGTATACTGTTAATATTGTGCTAGAGCTGGGCACAGTGGTGCACGCCTGTGATCCCAGCACTTAGAGAGGCAGAGGCAAGTGGATCTCTGTGAGTTTGAAGCCAGCCTGGACTACAAAGCAAGTCCAGGACAGCCAACGCTACATAGAGAAATCCTGCCTCGAAAAAACCAAAACCAAACATTTTATTGGGTGGTGGAGGCGCATGCCTTTAATCCCAGCACTCAGGAGACAAAGGCAGGCTGTGAGCTGGAGGCCAGCCTGGTCTACAGAGCTAGGTCCAGTACAGCCAGGGCTACACAGAGAAACCCTGTCTCAAGAAAAAACAAAACAGTGAACCAGCAACTTGGGGTGGGTGGCATAGGCCTGAAACAGAAACACAAACACACGGTAACTGAAAAGCTGACTCCAAAGTAAAAGGCAAGCTGGGCATGGTGAGGCACGCCTTTGATCCCAGCAGCTGGGAGGCAGAGGTAGACATATCTCAAAACCAGTCTGATCTACATAGAAAGTTCCAGGACAGCCAGGACTATATAAAAACCAACAAGCTCTCTGTGTCTGAGTCAGGAAACAACATTTCTAATAGAAACTTTGTCACTGTAACTCTGCTATCTGGGCTGTGGGCAGGGCCTTTTACTTGTCCTGTTGCCAAGTCAATTTCCTCAAATGGCTAGGAGGACCAAGAAATACCACCTGACAGCTCAACAGTAGCCTCAATTCCTGGACCCTTTCTTCCTTCTTTGGAGTTAATCCTGTACGATTAAAGTAGCAATGATTGGAAATTTAGTGCCTTTTGTTCAGTTCCTGGCATTTTTTTTTTGGGGGGGAGTTCTTTTTCAGATAGGACTTCGGAGTATAGGCCGACCAGCCTGGAATTCACTGTGCAGTACAGGCTGGCCTCGAATTTATATTACACCCCTGCTTCATTTGCTTCTGTGCTGGGATTACAGATGTGAGTAAGCAAGGCTGGCTAACTGAAGGAGATTCACTCTAGGTCTGCGTTTCCCAATCCTGTGGGTCGAGATCCCTTTGGGGGTTGAACGAGCCTTTCACCGGGGTCACCTAAGACTATGGAAAAGCACAGATATTTACATTATGGTTCATATCTGCAGCAAAAATAGTTATGAAGCAGCAATGAAAAGAATTTTCTGGTTGGGGTCACCACAACATGAGAAACTGGATTAAAGGGTCACAACATTAGGAAGGTTGAGAGCCACTGCTTTAGGTGTTACCGGTGCTGTAGGAAAGTGGGCAAATGGAAACATCAGGTGAGGTGTATTTCTAATACACACACGAGGTGAGGAGAAGAAAGGGACATATGCCAATAACAACCAGCAGAGACCATCACATTCGGTCTTCTCTTTGCACCCTGGAGAGCTGAAATGAACCGAAGGTTCTCTGTGCGCACCTAGGTCATAGCCACTTCTGTGGGAGGCCTGTCCCGGCACTCTATCAGGCAGTAAGCTAAACCAAGTCATAGGACATTGGGTCTTGGTGAGGTCCCCGCGGGATCGTTCCGAGGACCCGAGTTCGCACCTCCTCCCAAACCTTAGTTCTCACTTGGAGCCAGCACTTGCTCTCTCTGCAAACTTCCTTTCCCTGCCCCAGCACAGAAACCGGTGCACGGAGTACCGGGTCGGCGTAGCTGTCTGTCATCAGCTGTTTTAGAGAGGGAGCACATCTGCAGCGACGCTGCGAACTGTAAACACCAGGGCTGGGGGCAGCGGGGACACCGAGGCAGCCCCGGAGTCCCAACCCGCGGCGCTGGGCTCGCGCGACGGGACGGCGCCGGCGGGAGGAGGGTGGGCCGGGACCCGCGGGCCGCAGAGGTGGGAACGCCAACCCCCTTCCCCGGCGACCGCAGCCTCCGCCTCACCGCGTCCGGGAGGCGGCCCACTCACCCTGGGGACAGGGACGTGAGACTAGGGGCCGGACACGAACCAGACCCTGCTGGAGCCTGTCACAGACCCACAACCGACAACAGAACAAAGAACGGAAGCGCCCCTCCCCGCTTCGCTTCCGGGTCGTCCTTCCGCGCCCCGACTCCAACCCCCAAGGGCCGGACGCCCGCTCGCTCTCTCTAGGAACGCGGGAGGTCTTCGTCTCTCGATGGTTCGCGGACTCCGGGGCCCGCTGAGCCGGGGAGCCGGCGGCCAGACTGCGCCGCCTGCTGGCCACGTCCGGAAGGGACGCTGCTGAGGTGGAGGAAGCTGGAGGACCAGGGAATTCAGGAGACTACAACGGGTGGGGACGGGCCCGCAGTCACCCAAACCTCCGCAGCAAACATGGGCACCGTGGGCTCAGTGCAAAAAGAGATCTATTTTGTGGGTAAGAGCGTTTTCCCGTTTTGCATGTCTGTGCACGCGATGGAGGTGGAGGTCAGATGACGTCACCACATCACTCACGGTCCACCCTGTAGTCCAGGCTGACCTGCTTCTGCCTCCCCAGTGCTGGGACTAAAGGTGTGCGCCACCACCACCCGGCTTAGCTTTGCTTTTAGAGTGCTTGGCTAGCCTGGTGGTGGATAAAGCTGACAAGACGACATGGGACTGTATGCCTAGCACTTGGGAGGTAGCGGCAGGAATATCAGGAATTCTTCAGTACATACTGAGTTCAAAGCCAGCCTGGGCTACATGAGCTGTCTCACATAAATAATAGATGATTTTTCATTTATGACCCTGGCATAGGGGTTCGCACCTATAATCCCAATGCCTTAGAGGCTGAAACAGAAGAATAGCCAAGAGTTTGAAGCCAGCCAAGATTGCAGAATAAAACTGGGTCTCAAAACAAACAATAATTATTATCTTATTTACATATTTAAAATGAGCTTGCAGAAGTGAAGTTTCTGGTTTATTTGGAAACTCAGTTGCACCCTACTTAGGAAAAACAAATTATCCAAAGGATTGACGCCACAGAGATTGTGGTGGGAGACTGACAGGAGTGGTGGTGTCCCATCTTACAGCCTCAGAGAGGAAGGTAATCCCATCCACATGATTAAGGAAGAGTCAATAGTGCATGCTGGAAAGATGGCTCAGCAAGGACCGCTCCCAGGGGTCTGAGGCTCACAACCACCTATAGGTCCAGCTCCAAGGGAAGGAGGAAAGTTTGGCCTCTAGCTAATGTGTCCCCATCCTATGAGATGCACCACTGTTAATCACTGGTTTGGTACTTTTTCAGGGGAAATGAAGAGCACAGACTCACAGTCCAGGCTGAATCATATCATTTATTTTTTATTTATTTATTTATTTTTTTACAGTACCTATGAGGATGGAGAAAGGAGCTCTGCAAGTCAGCATGGCCTCACTAGTCCCTAGCCCAAGCCTAACATTTTCAAATAAAACTCTTTTAGTTAATTAAATAATTGAGCAGGATATCATTGTGCAACTCTGGCTGGCCTGGAACTTGCTATATGAACCAGGCTGGCTTGGAACTCACAAAGATCCTTCTGTTTCTGCTTCCCCAGTGCTGGGATTAAATGTGTGCACTACCATGCCTGGCTCTCAAACAAATAATTTGTTTGATATAAAAAGCTCACCTTGGCCAATTAAAAAATGTGCTACAGAGCTAAACAGAGCTTTGTTGTCCTTTCACAACAAAGGAATCTCAAATGGCTGAGAAGCACTTAAAGAAATGATCAATGTCCTTAGCCATCAGAGAAATGCAAATCAAAATGACTCTAAGATTCCATCTCACACCAGTGAGAATGGCTAAAATAACTCAAGTGACAGCACTTGTGGTGAGGATGTGAAGAAAGGGGAACCCTCCTCCATTGCTGATGGGAGTGCAAACTTGTACAACCTGTCTGGAAATCAATCTGGCACTTTCTCAGAAAATTGGAAATAGTTCTACCTCAAGATCCAGCTATACCACCCCTGGGCATGTACCCAAAAGATGCTGTACCATATAACGAGGACATTTGCTCAACTACATTCACAGCAGCTTTATCCTTAATAGCCAGAAACTGGAAACTATCTAGATGTCCCTCAACCGAAGAATGGATAAAGAAATTGTGGTACATTGACACAGTGGAACACTACTCAGCTATTAAAAACAAGGATATCATGAAATTTGCAGGCAAACGGGTAGAGCTAGAAAAGACCATCGTGAGCGAGGTAATCCAGATCCAGAAAGACACACATGGTATGTACTCACTTATACGTGGATATTAGACCTATAGTACAGGATAGCCAAACTACAATCCACAGGTCCAAAGTTAAGTAACAAGGAGGGCCCAAGGGAAGGTGACTGAATGTCACTCAGGAGGGGAAATTATTTAGACAGCAGAAGTGGATGAAGAGAGGGAACTGGACAGGAGATAAAATGGGGAGGGAAACAAGGGTGAAGATCAGATGTGGGAAGACTGGGCTGTGAGAGGGCTGGGAACAAGAAGGGACACTGAGGGGGACATTTCTTTGTCAAGCTGGAGGCCTGTGACAGGGCAGGGTCCTGGGAGAATGTGGGTGTGATTCTAGCTGAGACTCGAAAGAGGGGGCTCATGCAGAGTGAAGTGGCCACCTCCTAGCCAGGCAGGACTAGTGGAAAGAGGGGACAACCACCCAGGGACAAAACCTCTGATCCAAAATTACCCTGCCTACAAGAAGTGCAGGGATAAAGAGGGAACAGAGATCAAGGGACAGTCCAACCAATAATTGGCCCAACCTGAGACCCACTCCATGGAAGAGAGCCAGCCCCTGACACTGTTAATGATGCTCTGCTTTGCGTGTATGCAGACAGGAGCCTAACTTGACTATAGTCTGGGAGGCTCCAGCCAGAGGCAGATAAAGAAAGATGCTGGGACTTGAAGCCAAACATGGGGCAGAGCTCTGGGGATTCTGTGGAAGTGTTGGGGGAAAGATGGAAGGTCCTGGGGGGGGAGGGGCAGGAACCTCACAAGAAGACCAACAGAGACAACTAACCCAGACTCATGGGGGCTTACAGAGACTGAGACCTCAACTAAGAAGCAGGCATGGTCTGGACCGAGGAACCCTGCACACATGTGGTGGACAGGCAGCTTGGTCTTCATGTGACGTGCCTGTGAGTAGACAGGGTGGGGTTGTTTCTAGCATGGACTCTCTTGCCTGCTTTTGGATCACTTCCTCCTGGCCTCAGGGGATGAGGACATGCTCAGTCCTGATGTGACTTGATGTGCTGGGGAGGGTTCATACAGGGGTCTCCCCTTTTCTGGGGGGAAAGGGAGAGAGGAAGGGGGAAGAAGCAGAATGGGGGAGATCCTTGGGATGTAAAGTAAATAATCTGAAATAAAATTTAAAATAAAGAAAAAAAAAACACACCTCAGCAACAAAGACAGATATTACCTCGATTTTATTTTTTAAATGTCTATGAAAGTTCGATATGAAAACTTCCTACCCCACCCCCCACAAACACCAGAAAAAAAGCCATCGCTGGGCTAGTAGGATGGCTTAGGGAATAGAAGTCTTAGCTGCTGCTGCTGCTGCTGCTGCTGTATAACCACAGCTCTCACTTTAAGGGGAGTAAGAGATAGCTTATTCCAAGTCCTAACTGAGCGATCATGGCATGGGAACCCGGCTATAGGTTACCCCAATTCTATGTTCCCACATGGGAAGCAGTTACATGTAACGTTACAGTCTTACATTAACACATTATGGCAAGTTAAAACACGCTGGTGGATATATCAAAGAGAGGGCTCCAGAAAGCTGAAGTGAGCTTTCCCACAGGCCTCACATGCCATCTGAGGCCATTCTTCGCTTCTGGATTGGTGGAAGCTAGATGTCCGTTAGTTTAGTCTATAGGTTGCAGGATGATTTGACACAGAGGTGGGCGCGGAGAAACGGCTTCAGGAGGCTATTCGGGGAATCCGACTCTGGACCAGCAACATTCTAAACTGTCCACATTACTGTAGCTGTAATCAGTCAATCAAACTCTCAGACACTTCTTCCAAGCCTGGCAGCCCACGGACAGGTGCCAGCTTCCACCTACCCAAGTCCTGCAGCTTTCCTCTGGTCTATGCCATGGCATGCCCCTCTAAATAGGTAAACACATAAACAAACAAACAAACAGAAGCCATCTTCAAAAATTGCTAAAATCTGGGGAAAAAATCATTCCAAGACCCTAGACAGGTGTTGAACACGGACAAATATTATTAAATTGCTGTTAGCATTAATGATGATGTTTTATCTTTTTTTTCTTCTAAAGGTAACTTTCTTAAGTTCATAGTATTAAACACCCACTGTTTATTTTCCTGTAAATAACCACAGACACTGGGCATACGGCAATTTAATTCCCTAATTACCATCTATTGTACTCTGGCCCCCTTATTGTGCAGGCAACCCCAAGCAAAAGGACTACAAGTCTCAACATTAGCCAGACTACCCTTGCACCATCATCACCTGTCTGGGACACACAACAGGGGCCTTGAGACAGCTGTGCAAAGACCGCAGCTGATTTCCCAAGCATCTTAAGACATAGCCCCACTTAACAGATATCTTGCTGTCATCGGCCTCCATGAACTGTAGATGAACCTGCAAACGTGTCCACCTTGACAGGAAGAGGGCCCTTCCCCTTGTGGAAGAACTCCTGTGAACTGGTGCAGAGCTCTGGCTGGTCTAAAACACACACTTCGGTGACTGTGACTGGTAAACACATGGCTGTGATTGGCCCAATATGAATGACAGTGGGCCAAGAACTTCTTTTGTAGACCAGGCTGGCCTCGAATTCAGAGGAATCTGCAGCCCCTGCCTCCCTGAGTGCTGGGATTAAAGGCGCGTGCCACTGCGCTCAGCTGCTGTTTTGCTTTTTCAAGATAGGTGTGTGTGTAGCCTAGGCTGTCCTAGAACTCACTTTGTAGACCAGGATGGAGTTGATTGAACTCAGAGAGCCAGCTGCCTCTGCCTCCTTGTGCTGGGATTAAAGGTGTGTGCCGCCGCCGCCGCCGCCGCCGCCGCCGCCGCCGCCGCCGCCGCCGCCCAGCACACGAGGAGGTCAGTTCACTGTAGTCATGGTATGGAGAGCACTAGCGTGGCCGCAGCCCTG